CTTCCAGTATAGACTAGCAAATACTTCGTGTCATGCATAATCATACTACTTATGGCAAAATACAACTTCTAAGTTCCTCCATTTTCACTGCCGCGTTGTCTTATAAAAGGTATTTTGAAATACCTCCGATGTTGTTGACATTCTCGCCATCTCCAGCAACGCGTGGCAGCGGTGCCGCGGTACAGCGGTACGGGCGCAGCAAAGATAAAAACATCTGACGTCACGTCAGCACGTTCGATGTTATGTTGTTTGAAACAAGTTAGCCGTTGGCGCCTGATCCCTGATTTCGCACCTCTTTCTTGTTGGAACGCGCAAGTCAAATGGGAGGAACTAGAGTTTATTTTGCCATAAGGTAGTATGATTATGTCATGACACGAAGTATTTGCTAGTCTAGTACTGAAGAAATTAGCGTTTGGATGCGCATTGTGCGGCTTTAAACCGCTCGACGTACGGTCACGATATTCGGGAGCGTGGGGGGGTAATCCGAAACGAGTTGGGATGTCGAAGCTGGGGGTCAAAGTCAAAGAGTCAAGAGTGTGTAAAAGAAGGGGGACATTCACTCCTTAACTTAAGGTATAGGGAGAATGCAGAATTGCGGCGCACAAATCTAAACGGCTCGACCTAGCCTTCGTGATAGTCGGTGTATAGCATCATGGTAGGAAAAGCCATCACTGTGCCGAAATTGGAGTCACAGGTCAAAGGTCAATGGCACAGGGCAGATTTTAGACATTTTCTGAGGACATGGTCTGACGGAGGCAATTGAAAAACTTTTTTGTTTCAAGCAGTGACGCTACACTTTTTATTGCATTATTGTAGAAATGAGGCAGCTTTGCTTAGCGAAAGAAAGCGATGACGCTTGGTACAGCTTTGCTTAGCGAAAGAAAGCGATGACGCGTGGTACAGCTTTGCTTAGCGAAAGGAAGCGATGACATGTGGTACAGCTTTGCTTAGCGAAAGGAAGCGATGACGTGTGGTACAGCTTTGTTTAGCGAAAGAAGGCGATGACGCGTGGTGCAGTTTTGCTTAGCGAAAGGAAGCGATGACGCGTGGTACGACGTTGCGAATGCGCCGCCGTGTGTGCTCGAACAAACTCGGTGCTTCTTTTAAGATAATAGTTTAAAAATTATTTCAGTGTCAATCATCGTTTAAAATTGCTATTATATCATCACGAAATCTGACGAAAATGTATATTCCAAGATAGACTACATCGGATTCCGTGATATTCCAAGATAACCTAATTTGCAGTGCTTCTTAAACTATTTCAGTGTCATTCACTGATTCAGCCTCAAGTCTTCATCACAAAATTTCGTTGACCCGCAACTAAATTTCCGTATGTTTTTGGTTATTTTCATTCATTCCAAAATAATTTCAATTACGCTTGGGTGAACCCTTCACCAGTTTAAGAAGCACTGCAGTTTAAGTTTCTCTCAGCAAGTACTGCTTGTGTACTGCCGGCTCTTAGTTTCTGCGAAGCATACTAGCTGTCTAAAGCCTAGCGCAGACTTGCGACTTGGTTGCTCGTCGCTGCAACCTGCAACCACGTGCGATCGGTCACACGCTTCACCGTGTGTGCGCATGCAAGTTGCTGTCTACCCACACACATGCGATTTCGAATCGACTTCGGAGCGATTGGGAGCGACGAGTTGCTGAAAATCAAATCGGTTTGATCTCTTGCAACTCGTTGCAAGCGACCAGAATCGCTACGAGTTGCAGTTGCACGTTCCCCGCATACATAGCAATTTCACAGCAATTTCGACTGCGATTCTAGAATCGCAGCCGAGTTGCATGAAAAAGTCGCAAGCCTGCGCTAGGCTTAAGAAAACTCTTATGAGTATATGCATTAGAATAATGTGGAAACTGAAAAATAATGGAGTGAAACTCGAGGACTAATACCCGTGTGGAACTGTCTCTCGCGTTTTGAAAGCCTAAAGGAACACGTGGATATTCTCACATGATAGCAAAATTAGCAAATGTATGTGAATGTGTCATTAGCGTAGTGTTAGTTTCATCGCTGTATGATAACCGAGTTTTTACACCGGTCGCTGCATGGGTTTATGCGCGTTAATAACCGATAATGACAATTAAATGTAATCGTTAATTAAATGATTCTCACCTATTCGATTTTGCACCACGCGTTTGTTTTTACCAGTGGTATTGCTTGTCTGTCGTAGGATTGTTACTCTGTCTGTACGTGTGCTGTCACCTAGTTACTACCTGGTTCTACGGTTAGGCTTATTCTACACTAACTTTTCTCGTGCGTCGTCCTTCCTCTCGATCTGTTTAATACCTTTATGCAGTATTATATATAATTATATATATTATATATATATATATATACGTACACGTATGGAAACGTGAATTATAATTATATCATGATAAATTGTTTGCCTGCTGCATATTTCTCTTCGTGCGTGAAGTACACATGCAGTACACAACTTTCGTAGGGGGAGACAGAAGAAACGGGAGAGAGAGAGAGAGAGAGAGAGAGAGAGAGAGAGAGAGAGAGAGAGAGAGAGAGAGAGAGAGAGACACACACAGACAGAAAGAAAGATAATTGGTTGGGGGATAGAGAAAATGAGAGAGGGATATACAGGTATAGCAGGGGAAGGAAAGAGATAGGGAGAGAGTGGCAGGAGAAAGATAAAGAGGGTGTGAGAGGGAGAAAGATAGAAAAGACACTTGGGAAGAGAGAGAGGCGAGAGGGATGCAAAGAAAGAGATAGGGAGGTGGGAGGGAGGATATAAGGAGTGGAGGGCGGGAGAGAAATGGCGAGAGGACGAGAAGGACAGAGATAGAGAGAGAGAGAGAGAGAGAGAGAAAGAGAGAGAGAGAGAGAGACCGAGGCGTATGGAGGGAAGAGAGACAGAGGGAAAGGAAAGATAAGAGAGACAGGGGGAAAGGAAGGGTAAGAGGACAGAGGAAAGAAGGAAGGTAAGAGAGACAGGAGGAAAGGAAAGATAAGAGAGACAGGGGAAAGGAAGGGTAAGCAGACAGACCAGGGAAAGGAAGGGTAAGAGAGACAGAGGGAAAGTAGGTAAGAGAGACAGAGGAAAGGAAGGGTAAGAGAGACAGCGGGAAAGTAAGGTAAGAGAGACAGCGGGAAAAGAAGGGTAAGAGAGACAGCGTGAAAGGAAGGGTAAGAGAGAACAGAGGGAAAGTAAGGGAAAAGAGACAGAGGGAAAGGAAGCGGTAAGCAGAGACAGCGGGAAAAGAAGGGTAGAGAGAAGCAGGGGAAAGGAAGGGTAAGAGAGACAGAGTGAAAAGGAAGGGTAAGAGAGACAGAAGGAAAGTAAGGGTAAGAGAGACAGAGGGAAAGGAAGGGTAAGAGAGACAGAGGGAAAGTAAGGGTAAGAGAGACAGGGGGAAAGGAAGGGTAAGAGATACAGAATAAAAGAGGAGGGGAGAGAGTTCGCTTGTTCCTAGGAGTTCTCTCTTCAAAGTCTTCCGTGAGTACGTAAGAAATCCGTAAGTGCAGGTGCAGCACCACATCACGCCACCCTACAGACTTGGTAGATGGACGTACGCCACTCGGCTATCGAACAAAGGGCAAAGGCGTAAGAGTGGCGAGATGGTTCCATGTCGCAGCTTTCCGGACAGATAAAAATGTGGACTTTCTTTTTACACGACGTATGTGCAACGACTTGTCTTTAAATTTTTGCAACACCCTGCCATTCTGCTGATTATTTTTCACGTATGTTTAAACACAAATAAAGTACTTGGGGAACTAGAAAAAGAATATCTGTCAAAATTCTACCAACCGTAGCGTCTAATTAAAAAATGCGAACGCAATGGCCTACTCACTGCAGGACACACCACACTACATCACACACACCACACACCACACACACACACACACACACACACACACCACACACACACACACACACAAGACACCACGACCAACACAACCACACGACACACGCACAACAGCACACACACAACACACAAACCACACACACCACATCGACACTAACCAACCGTACACACACACAAAGCACACACAAACAACAGGAGGCAGCACACAACACCACAACACACACACACTCTCGCAGCGCACACACACACACACACACACACACCAGCACACACACACATGACACACGACACCACACCACGTACCACACACACACGCGCACACACACACACACACACCACACACACAACACACACACACACACACAACACACACACACACACAGCAGAGAGAGAGCATGTCAGAGAGAGTAATGGATGAGAGAAGTACGAGAGGGAATTCACGAGAGAGCGAGGAGAGACAGAGAGTTCTCGACGAGATGAGATGAGAGAGAATTTAGAGAGAGAGAGAGACGCACGCCACGCTTACGCACATTCCGCTTCTCACTTAACCCTTGGCGGTCCTATACCCACCACGCATTTGACGCCGGTATATTCACCGGCATTTATGCGCTTTCGTTTACACGGAGTGATGCTGAAGTCAGTCGAACTTCTAATTACAGCTTCTCTGGATCATTGCGTGGACGTTATTGGACGTGTCGCATTCCAATGAATTTCTGAAAGCGGCTAGCTTTTAATTTAGGATTTCTGAGGATTTCTGCGGTTAGAACGCCAGTTTGCTGCTATTTTGCCGGGACAAATAATTGCCCGCCATTCTGGCGAGGAATTCCCACCGTGCAGTCCCAAATATTATATCAAAACGACTGCGAGTCCTCTGGATCTGCCGATTGCCTGCTGAGTGCTCACACACAGCACATCAGTAAAACGCGCGTGGAGCGTGAGTGTGTGTGTGTGCTGCAGTGTGATGTGTGTGTGTGTCGTATGTGTGTGTGCTGGTGTGTGTGTGTGTGTGTGTGTGTGTGTGTGTGGCGCTGTGTGTGTGTTGACTGTGTTGCGCGCGCTGCGCTCGCGCATGTGTGTGTAAGCCTGTTGTGTGTCCATATGTTTGCGGTCGTGAGCCTGCGCTGCGAGCGTGCGTGCGTGTAGTGAGTAGGTTCCTGTCGTTTGCGCGCGCGTTACGTGTGCGGGTCGTGTGTGTGGTCCTGTGTGTGTGTGTCGTGTGTGTCGTGTGTTGTGTGTGGTGTTGCGCGTGTTGTGACGTGCGTCCGCATGTGTGTGTCTATATGTTTGCCGGTTCAGTGTCACAGTGAGTGAGGTTGCGTGCGTGCGTGCGCTGCGATTGCATGTGTGCTGATGTAGCCGTTTTTCTGTGTTTGCGCTGTGAGTACGTAAGCGTGTGTGTGTGTGTGTGTGTGCGGATGGTGTGTGGTGTGTTGCATGTGTTGTGACGGCGGTGTGTGGTGGTCTCACGTTGTGCCCGTTCGTATGCGCGCGCGCATGTCGTTGTAAGTCTCGTGGTGTGTCCATATGGTTTGCGGTCGTGATGTGAGTGCGTTGCGTGCGTGCGTGGGTGTATTGAGTAGTGTTCTGTGTTTGTAGTTTCCTATGTTCCTGTAAGGTTCGAGTGCTGCACACTAGCACATGTAAACGCGCGTGCGTGGAGATGTGTTTGTGTGGTGTGTGTGTGTGGTGTGAGGTGTGTTTGTGTGGTCGGTGTGTGTGTTTGTGTTGTGTGTGTGTGTGTGTGTGTGTGTTTCGTGGTGTGTGTGTGAGTCGCTGTGCTGTGGCGATGCGTGTGTGTGAGTAGGTTCCTGTGTTTGCGCGCGCGTACGTGTGTGTGTCTGATCACACACGTACACACGCACTATGATTTCTCAGTATATAGGTCTACTGCTATGCGACCCCGTCACCTACGCTCTCCGCACATCCGTCATGCTCTGTGTGAGGTTGACAAGATTCGGTGGCGGATCCAGGGGGTGGGCATGCACAGGGGGCGGTCACCACACTAGAATTGTCAGGGCAAGGGTATTTTAGTCTAACACCCTGCCCCCTCGTGCGCTTCGTGCCCTTATATATATATATATATATAATATATATATATATATATTATAAATACCGCAAACATCATTAATTATACACACTGGCAGTTCCAACAAATCAGTAAAAATAAAAATAATGCATAATAAATCTTATTGCACCCCTAATAACTCTCCTATCTGCGGTAAACAACTCCTCACTGCAAAAGAAAAGCCTAACGTCGGCGCGAATGCTAACTCGCTGCACTAAGCTGCGCACTCCCCATACATAATCCCACTTAAATACGGTATTATCAAGAGCGTTGGGTTTGAGCAGCTTCGGCTTTTCTTTTGCAGTGAGGAGTTGTTTACCGCAGATAGGAGAGTTATCAGTGGTGCAATAAGATGTATTATACATTGTTTTTATTTGTACTGATTTGTTGGAACTGCCAGTAATTATACGGAGCGCTGTGTCCTCGTGCATTCCATTCCACCCCTCCCTCACTCCCTCCCTCACCCCTCCCTCACCCCCCCCCCGCATGGAGCAAGGCTCTATCATCAGGGCCGTAGGCTGAGCAAATTCCTAGGCGGGCAGTGGCGGATCCAGGATTTTAAGGAGAGGTGAGAAACAGGTGGGGGTCTGGGGTGCTCCCACAGAAAATTTTGAAAATGTAGATCGCAGGAGATGGTATTTGAGGCACTTTTGAGCACATGTACAGCCTTCATTCTGACTACGACAATTATTTTCCTTTAGTAGAACTTTTTTCTTTTGCTCTAAAATCTAGGGGGGCAGCTTGCTCCCTTGCCCCCCCCCGCAGGCTACGGCACCAGAAATGTAACGTATACACCGTTGGTTGACACGAGGGAAAGTCATTGTCCCCTGTCAGGTGACGTTACGGTTCGCGCACACGGACGCCTGGTGGGCACTTGTACCTGGAGTCAGTGACACTACCTAGCATGTATAACAGCAGTGGCAGGAGTAAGTTTGTTGACTTTACACAAACACACACCACGCGCGTGTGCCTGTATAGTGTTACCCGCCACAAGCAACAACGAGGTGATATTTTTCCGGGTAAGCGTTATATTATAATACGATAGTGTATGAAAATATAATATGTATGTGTGTTTGTGTGTGTGTGTGTGTGTGTGTGTGTGTGTGTGTGTGT